ATCATGTGTACATTCTACAAACAGTACAGCTAAGATTATACGGCTTGTACCCACCTGCTGTCCGAACTCTCAGTGGCGCCCACAGGTATGCTCGAACAACAACAACACCAACAACAACAACAACAACAACAACAACAACAACAACAACAACAACAACCCTACCACCACCAACAACAACCCTACCACCACCAACAACAACAACCCTACCACCAACAACAACAACCCTACCACCACCAGCAACAACCCTCCCAAGCACATGCGCAACAGCGACCGATGTTTGCGTCGCACGATCCCGCGGGTGCATCGCGTGCGTCCGTGCTGCATACAAGTTTGATGCTGCAGGATGGAGACATTGTTGCAGCAGCGCGCAACCCAAAGTACAAGCACGCGTTCAGCCACGACCAGCAGACGTCTGTCGTCAACAGCTCCAAGCGGCCGTCCGTGTTCCACTTTCTCTGGTCAGGCTGGGGTCTGTTCCTGCTCATTCTGGCGGAGCTGATCATGGTCAACGTGATCATCTGGCCCTGGTGGATCATCGACGAAGGCAAGGACGTGCGGGACCTCTTCTTCAAGGCGCTGCGCGCGCAGGACGCCTCGTTTTGGATCGGCTTTGCCTTCTGCACCATGGCCTGCACGTGCATGGGGATCATCGTGCTGTTCGCCTTTGCGCGGCGCCGCATCAGCGTGCCCAAGACGCCGGTGCAGATCCTGTCGGGCCTGCTTGGTGGCCTCCCGCGCGGCGCCATCATGGTCTCCTACACCACCCGCGACCCAGACATGTGCCACCCAGACATCCCACGCAAGGTCGCCCGCACGCTGCCGTGCCGCTGGCTGGACCAGGACTCCCTGCTCCCCGGCATCCCGCTGCGCATCGCGTGCCAGCAGGCGGCGGAGACGTGCGAGATGGGCATCATGTTCGTGTGCCAGGCGTACCTGCTGAGCCCCGTGTGCCGCGCCGAGTTTCGCGAGCTCATTGGCAACGACATCCACGGCACTGGCGGCAAGAAGCGCAACATCATCTTCATCCTCCCAGACGTCGTGCCCCTGCTCGACAACGAAGAGTGGCAATGGGGCAATCGTGGCCTTGTTGATAACGGTGTTGGTCATGGTGTTGGTCATGGTGTTGGTCATGGTGTTGATGGCGCTATTGATGGTACCATTGATCATGGTGATGGCGGCGACCGGGAGGTGAAGGAGATCCTGCAGTTTCTGCGTCGCATTCGCAAGTGCACACCGGAGCCCATCCGTGCCGAGCGCACGCACGAGCGCAGCAGTCTTCACTGCCGCCGCAACGGGCATGCCATGGCGCACAGCTTCCGCTTCTCCTCCACACAACCGGGCGAATCATCCACAGATGACGCAGAGGAACCTTACAACACGCCTACACACCCTGCCACCGCAGCAGCTACTGCTGCCGCCACACCATCATCAACAACAACAACAACAACAACAGCAACAACAATAACACCACCACCACCAAGAACAACACAGTCCACTGGTTCAGCTGCTACATCAGCACACCGCAGCACAGCCGCAACATCACCAACCTCCACCACCGCCACCACCACGACGCAGACGGTGATTGCGCTGACGCCGCGCGACCGGGAGCTGATGAAACACGACCCGGCGTGGGCGGTGCTGCAGGCGTTCCAGCAGGCCGGCACGCTCACGTGGCTCGGGCAGCGGCACACCCCGTACTTCTTTGCAGAGTGGCGAGCAACGGCCTCCATGCTGTTGAGCGAGCCCAACGGCTGGACGGCATGGGGCGTCATGGCGCTCATTGCATGGCTCGTGCCCATCATCTGCGGTGTTGCAGGCGCATTTTACACGCACACGCAGGCGCGCATCGGCGTGGCCATCGTGTACCTGCTGGTGCTCGTCCCCGTGTGCGCGCTCCTGCTCATCATGTTCCGCGGGCTGGTGGGCGCCGTGCTGCCACGACCCGCACTCAAGGGCCCCGCGTCACTGCTCGTCGTGCTGTGGAAGCTCGGTATCATCAACCGCATCAACGTCGACACGGGCGGCATCCACCGCCGCTTTGTTGACGAGTTGGCACGGATTGGCGTTGTCAACCTCAACTTCAACCCAAAGCGCGACCACCACCTCCGCTTTGCTGACGCCGCCTCTGTCGTGCGCGGCGAGACGCACCTCCCCGATGATGAGCTGGAGAACGCGTTCCTCATGCTGTGGCGTGATGCAACCTTCTCGGACTTTGCGCAGCTGCCCAAGAACCTGCAGTCCTCGTGGGTGCACCCGACAGCGGGCACGCTCGCCTACTCCATCATGTGCTCCATGATGGTGTTGTTTGCGCTCGATCACCGCGCCCTGCACGGCACCATTGCAGGCGTGAACCTCTCCTCAAAGCCAACCACCAAGTCCCTCGGCGGCAACATCGACAAGTGATGTGTTGCGTTGCGCGCGGGTGTGTGTGGGGGAGGGGGTGGCTTGGGAGGGGCTTGGAATGGGGAGAAACGGAGATGGGCAAACGACAAGAAGGAACGATGGGAAGAAGAGGAGATGGGCAAACGACAAGAAGGAACGATGGGAAGAAGAGGAGATGGGCAAACGACAAGAAGGAACGATGTGGAGAAGCGTGACTGTTTCCGTGTTGACATTGAACATTGTTTTTGATTTTTTGTCTGCTGTGTTCACCTGCTTTGTGTCCGTTGTTATTGCTGCCTTCCGTGCGTTACTGCGTTACTTGCTGATCCATCAGCTTGCTTGCTTGCTTGTACACAGCACAGCACAAGAGGACAAGAAGTGACATGAACACGTGATGTGAAGCCATTACACACAGCACACACACACACACACACACACGCACACACACAATGAACACCACAACAGCAACAACACGTGTTTTGGCCGCCACACCCACGTATTTTCCACTGAGCGTGGTGGTCCTTCCTGCAAAGATGAAGCGCTGCTGCTGGCCGTCTGCTGTGCTCCCCACCTACTTGCTGGTGGTGCTGCTCCTCGCCCTTGCAGCATCGGGGGAAGTGATTCCGCGATGCGGAGACCGCCAGCTGTCGCAGGAAGAGGTTGAGGCGCAAAGTGGTATTGTCGAAGCAAGCGCTGCCAAGCGACAGGCCCTGATGCAGAGCACAAGCAAGCGCACAGTGCTGCACGCCTTTCAGCAACAACAGCGAGCACGCGCCGTGAACGACTACCTGGACACGTACACGCTACTGACGCTGGACATCCCCATCAACTACTACGTGGTGCACCATGAGGACGGCACGGGATATGTGGAGGAGGCGATGCTTGAGGCGCAGACGGCCGTGATGAACGACCGCTTTGCCAGCCCCATCGACACGGGCCTGCGGTTCCACACCAACGCCACCGTGTACATCAACGACACGTCGCTTGCCATGCTGTGTGGCCACCGCCGCCAGTTCATCGCCGCGCGCTACGTCATCTTGGATGGCCGTGATCCCGCCGAGTCCCTTAACGTGCTGGTGTGCCGCAGCCGACGGTTCCTTGGCGTCGCCGTGTTTCCCTGGGAGGCGCCGGAGGACGATGCCTTACAGTCCATCAACCTGCACCCGGGCTCTCTGCCCGGCGGGTATGTGGCCGACTTTAACGAGGGTGATACGCTCGTACACGAGGCCGGGCACTACTTTGGGCTGTTCCACGTGTTTGAGGGCACGACGTGCTCGCGTCGGCGGGGCGATTTCATTCGCGACACCGCCGCGCAAAAGTACCCGACGTCCGGCTGCCCCTCCCCCGAGGAGAGCGCGGACACTTGCCCGCACCGCCGCGGCCATGACAACGTCAGTGGTTGTGTGTATGTGTGTGTGTGTGTGTGTGTGTGTGTGTGTGTGTATGTGTGTGTGCATGCGTGTGCGTGTGTCTGTGCATGCGTGTGTGTGTGTGCGTGTGCGTGTGCATGCGTGTGTGTGTGTGTGCATGCGTGATGCATGTATGTGCGTTGACGGCCATGCAAAGCCCTTTGCATCACTCACATGCATCCTGACGCTGCATTGCATCACAGATCCACAACTACATGTACGCTGACAAGGGATCGTGTACACTCGTTGTTTTGTGACGCAATGCTTGCCGCAAGCACTATCTGTCTGGTGCACACTGTTTGATTCATCGCCCCTTTCATCATGCGTCTGTCTCGCGTTTTCACCTCTGATCACATCACCCCTTCCTCACGTCCACTCTCTCCTTCGCCTTCCTGTCTCCTCTCCTTGACCCGCTTCTTCTTTGCGCTGCAGGGACTATTCGACAGATGCGTGCATCGATCGCTTTACGCGATGGCAGGTCGTGTACATGCGCTACTACACGGAATACTTTCGCCCGCGCCTCTCGAATGCGGCACTAGTCGTTGAGGCCAGCAGTGCCACGTGCACTGACCTCGGGTGGCAGCCCGCTGACGGCGTCGTTGGCGCCAATGGCCGCGGCGTGTGCGCAGAGTCACGCGTCGGCAGCGGCGATCAGTGCTTGACGGGCGATTGGTTTGATGCCTTCTTCCACTGCCAGAGCATCGGCGCGCGCATGTGCACATCGGACGAGCTGATGAGCATGGACAACAAGGGCGACATTGGGCGGTGCCGTGGCCTGCTGCGCAACCGCCTCGTGTGGACGACCAACTTCTGCAGCCGCGCCCGCCGCGCTGTTGTTCGTCTTCGTCGGCGGCGACCACCCAAGATGGAGTGCAGGCCCCCCGAACGCCAGGCCGGCACCATCCTCTGCTGCGCTGACGACACGGACACCAGATGACACGAGCATGCGTGTGTGTGTGTGTGTGTGTGTGTGTGTGTGTGTGTGTGTGTGTGTGTGTGTGCGTGTGTGCGTGTGTGCGAGCATGTGTGTGTGTGTTCGTGCAGCCAGTCGTCGTCAGCAAAAAAAGAAAACAACGCCCACTTTTTGTTTGCACGCGACAACCACCACGACGATGATGAAGGTGCAGGTGCTGCTTGTGCTTGCGCTGTGTGTGAGCTGGTGTGCCGGCCATGCTGTGATTGAGGAGGACGCGCTTGGCGCGCTGCACA